GATGTTAAAGTCGGCATATAAGATCGTATATGATTTGTTTTTTTTAATACCATCTCATATATAATCATGTAAGAATTGTAAAAGATTTTCCAAATGAATTGTTTGATTTGAAATTAACAACAATAAGAAAATATACAAATTCAAATTTTTTTTGCTTTTATTTCAATGAAATTACAAAAATAGATTTCAATTTTCTTTATACGCAAAATTAAACCCTTATAGAAACACTTATAATAGTATATATATATACTTATTTGAGTAATAAATTATTTAAATAGATCTTATTTCGAAAAAGGTCATCATGTTCTAAGAAAAGAGAAATATGAATCTATTGTAGTACTAATATCATGTTAAAATATATTAAATTTGAAAAATTTTTTAATATTAATTATTAATTTCTATAAGAAAGAAAAGTATCTAATTCATATTTTTGTTTTTTTGTTTTTCCAATTATTAAGATTTACTATTCACAATTAATATTGAAGAATATTATATTGATTTTTATTTTCTTTTATTCATTGTCGAAAACAAATTTCATAAAAAAAAAACAAAACAAAGAATCAATTAGATAACAATATTCTTTTATTTAGAAATCAAAATATTTTCTTCATCAAAAATTCTATTCTATATATTTTTAGAATAATTATATATGATAAACAAAATGTCAAGATGGAAAAACAACGTTTTAGCTTGTTATTTTGACACATGTGCATATTTATGTGTCGACAGAGAAACTTACATATATGACATTTCACACTATGTAACGACCTTGTACATATGCTTATATAACATTTTCTGATTAGAAATCTAGGGAAATAAATACATCTAATACAATATTATAATAACAACCTATCTAACAATGATTATACTAATCATTGAATATTTTTATCAAACCTTTTTCATATACTAAATAACTACATAGTTATTTATGATCTATATATAAATATATTCTTACCGTTCTCGACTTGATCACCTTTTTTTCCTGAATTTGTATTTCCCATTATTTCCGGATTAACTAGTGCAGATATATATTATAAAATAAAAAATATGAAATGTTTCGATGGAGTAAAACAGTATAATAAATAAATAAATAAATAAGTATATATATATATAGTATAATGATAGGTAATTAGAAAATGTAGGTGATATTAACGATGATGTTTGACGAAATAAAAAAGAAAACGACAACGATTAAACTATGCATTTGAACATGAATGTTAATGAACCATTGAGTTGTTTCATTATTCAGTCAAGCAAAATGTGTGAGAATACTAGAAATAGAAAGAAATAGACATTAGACAGACTAACAGAAATATAAAATAAGAATAGAAAAAAAAAAACAACAAGACACAAACACTAAATAATAATAATAATAATAAGAACGAATGACAAGAATTTATATGAACAAAATAAATGAGCATAACAAAAACTATGATGTGTATATATTTAAAAGGTTGATTTCAAAAGTATTGACTATAGGGAGTTGAATAGAAGCAATATCATTATATCAACGAAGAGAAATAGAAAAAGAAAAGAACAAGAAAGAAAAAAATAATAATAATAAAAAAAAAACAAAAATTTTGAGTTTTATTTCCATTTTGCTTCAAACTTTATTCAATAGTAATCATGCATTGATATCAAATGATTAAGAACGTAAAAGAAGGAAAAGAGGAGATCAACTTACCCGTTGATGATGATGTGTGTATTAGTATTAGTTAAGTACAACACAAAAAAAAAATTATGCATACCGCGATTAGAAGGCAACACAAAAAATAATAATAACAATAACATCAACAATCTAGCCGAACAAACACACGCGTCATTGCTTTTCTAATATAAAAAAAAAACGATTGTTCACGCGATTTAATGATGAGAACTTTTTAATGTTAGAATAACTGATGTTAAGAAGAATAAAACGACAAGAGAACGCGAATAAAAAAGACAAAATACTACATTCTATCGATTCTGATGTCGACACCGATGAGGTTGCCGACACACACACACACATAAAATTTCAAGGAAAAACAATTTAATGACAGCTCAACACATTTTTTCTCGCCTCTCTATACTTGCATACTTATTTTAGCAGTTAGCCGTTTCGTAACAATAGCATTGACATTAGTGACTTTCTTCTTCTAACTATTTTCTCATAACAAATACATTTGATCTTTTTTTTTTCTCAGAGTATTTCCTTTTCTAGAGTGGTCTGAATTTACACAAAAACCGATCACGACAATAAAACAGGTAGACAAATAAGTCAACAATCATCAAAAATAAAAAATGTTAACACAAACCAGATTTTTTTTGACCTCGATCTAACTAATGGATTCTGTCATTTAACTTCAAAGTCAAATCTTGTTATTTTAATCATAAATTAGAAATATCATGAGATAGAACAAAACAATTCTCATCCGGCTACAAATTAATAAACATTCAGTTAGACTAACAAGATATGACATGCAAAAAAAAAGCAATTGTATCTCCTAGTCGTATAGATCTATTTATCTTCGACACATATGTTACACATACGTAAGTATGATAATATACAATATGTTTGACATAAAAGCAAGTAATAAGAAAAAAAAAAGAAGAAGAAGTTTCCTATCAATCTCATTGACAATCACCAATCCTCTTCTTTTCTTTTCTTTTTTTTTCCTATTCTCGTTTCTTACAATTACCACTTGAATAGAAGAATCATGAATGCACGCATATGATGAGCTGATCGAATTACTTCTCTTTTTTTTTTTTTGCTTTATCTATCTATTTTCTATGAGAGATCGATATTACTTTATGCTGCATGTGCATACATTACTAAGATCTACTCAAACTATTGCTTGATGATTGTGTCAGCTGGCTGACATAATAATGAGCTCATATATATATAAATAATGTTCTTTTTTTTCTTTTCGTATGAAAGTGAATGTTTGCGATGATTGTGTGGTGTCCTGAGTTTCTCTCTCTCTCTCGTTTTTTTTTTCTTTTTACTTATCTGATTATATAAAAGTATCGTTATTGTCAAAAAAAAAAATCAATAGAATTGTTGTTGAATGTTGATTATGCATATGCTCCCTCCTCCCTCCCTTTTTTTTTGATCAATCTGATTAATGATAAAGATGCGTGTTGCTTGAAATGAAAAGAAAAATGTCATTTAAATTGACATATATGATGATTTACACTTGTTATAATATATATCGACATCAATATCAACCAATTCTTAAATAAGAAGTCAAGTTTTTATTTTTTTTTTTATATTAATAAATCATATGATAATTCATCTATCAAATATATGCTATAGGAAAAATTAGAATTTCATTGTTAAGATAAATTTCTTACAATCAAGTATTTAACTAAACATAGAATGACAAAAAAAAAGAAATAGATAGAAAATTGTAATTGTAACGATCGTGTCAATAAGCGGTTTCTATATAGATGTACGCGTTACAATCTAATAAAAATAAAATTTTGTCGGAATTAGATTTAACAACTAGTCACATATGCGATTGTAAAAAAAACAAATGTGTTATAAAATATTGTTCGTATAGACAAAAAATAAAAGAATTCGAAAGGTTTTTATTTAATAAAATATCATTTAAAAATATAATAGTTATGTAAATATAAATGAATAGATTAAAATATTTAATAATAATTTTAATTTTAATTTTATTCGAATTTTACCTATAAAAAATATAAATATTTAGTTGATTTAAAAATTTTTCAATTAGATTTATTTGTCAAGAATAAAAAAAAGAATTGAATTTTTGAAAAATCTTCAAATCAAAAGCTTTTCTTTTTTGTTATCTGTTGGAATTACCTAAAATGATAGAACAAAGAATTTTCTATAAAATAACTTTCTACAGTATTTTATCAACAAGATACATTAATCTTCAACTATTTCATTTAGAAATATCATTTTTATGTTTTTCATAAGATTTATGTATGTCTAGGGATCCGGAAAACATTTTTTTTTGATTTTGTAGAGAATTGTTTGCTTAATCATTACAAACAATTCAAACAGAGTTACAAGGGATGAAAAGCTATCAATTTTTTTGAGAAATAAAATACTTATTTATTAACATTAATATTAGTGAGAAAAAAAAAACATTAAAAACAAATCTGATGGAATGGTTTTAGAAGTTTGTATATGAAATTACAGATGCTTTAAGAATCGACTTGAAGGTCCTTAAGGGCATATCTATATATATCAGTCAATATAATTAAGAGTATCAGAATGATACTTAAATAGAAACCTAGTCCAATAAAATAAAATAAATATTCTAAAAAAAATTTGGCACCAACTGTTGTTGTTGAATAATAATTTATTATTAGAAAAGAAAAAAACAAAATCTTATATTCTTTTAGATTACTTTTATAATTTTCAGTTCAGCAAAAAAAAATTTCTTTTTTGTTTTTGAAAATTAATAACATAAAAAGAACGAAAGTCATCTATCGTTGTTTTGTTTACAACGTTCGATAAAATGTACTTGTCTATGAGGACACACATCCGAGTGATAATCTCCGTCTGGACTCATTCCATTAGGCTTTTAGTCTCGAGTTATTGAACTTTAAGCCTATTGCAGACGAGAAAAATTGCAATAAAGAATATCGTCTTGAAATTGTTCCGAATAATAGCTTTCATGATATTTTGAAAGCTTCAGCTAATATTAGAGAGAATTTCAAGACAAAACTACTTGTTGTGATTTTTGTGCAATCGATTGAAAGTTTAGTAATTCGAAAAGAACAGTCTAATAGTACTATGAGCTCAGACAGAGATTATCAATCGGATGTATTCCTTCGTTAGTCTTTTGTGTGTGTGTGTGTGTGTGATGTATCCTAATTGCTCTTTTATATGTAACATTGTAAAAGATATATATATATATATTTTTTTTTATGATTAAATTTGATAGTTAACTCTTGTTTTTATTTAACAAACAGCAATTACATACATCAAAAAACAAACAAACGAGACAAGATTAATGTTAATATATAATTTTGTTTTTGTTTTATAAATATAATGAAGCTGCAAAAACAATATCACGTTTGATCTTTTGTGTACCTAATAAAATAATAATATATTTTCTTTAATAATAATAATAATATAATCTTAAATAAAATACCTTCAGTAAATTTTGCTTCAAGTTCACTATTACCAATAGCTTTAGCAGCACAACACATTTGTCGAAGAAGTTCTTCAAGTCGTCGCATACAACGTACAATTGATCCTATCATATAAATCAATGTAAAAAGAAACAAAATTTCAATTATTATTTTAATTAATAATATACCTTCGAATATTGTTGTCATTTTACAAATACTAGCAAAACTTTGTCCATCTACCCATGCTTTAACAACATCCATCATATATGGTTTAAATCCATCAACATAACGTTCTTCATCCATTTCAATTTTACTTTCAATTGATACTCGTGCTACACGACGAGCTGCTTCCTAAAATAATGAATTGTTCATAGTAAAATATATCAACATTTCAAAATATTTTATATAAAAACATAAGAGTGAAAACTAAGCCTATAGAAGTTCTATTCATATTGAGAAACTAAAAATATACTTGTTTATCGCGTTCTGTTCGAATTTTTTTGAAGAGAAGAATAGAAATTGATAATTCAATTTAATTTAATTAAGTATCAAGCAGTTTTACTTAATACTTCATGTTAAGTTTAAATAATTGCGTTTGGTAATTGTTCTCTACTACAGTACAGAATCAACATCTTGTTATGCTAGCTTTACAGAAATGTCCATCGCGGATGAGAATCAAAAAATTGCTTTGATTTTCAAGACTGTGGCTGATCTCAACTAGAACTTCTACTGCTAATAGATCAGATTCGTCAAGTCTTACAGTGTAGTATACATGAACGTCGAAATTCTATATAAATTCATGAGTTTTTTAAAATTTATTCCTAAAAAAGTTGCTGCCACCGCCGTACCGATATGAACATCTTATCCAAAGATTTCTCTTTAATGACTTGAACGATACCATATAGAATTCGTATGATAGGAGAAAAAGATATTGTCAAACAAACTAATACTTTTTTTTTCTATTTTACATACTTGTAAAAGATGTAATGGTCCTGATAATTCTTGTGGTAATTTAGGCATTTCATTAGCTTTTTCTTGAAAAACAAAACAACTAAGTAAAGCACATGCTTGACTAACAGTTAAATCATTAAAAACACCATTAAATAAAAGTTCTGTTGTAACAAGTTCATCACCTGTATCAATTTCACATGCTACACGTCCTTTTAAATCAATAACATCAGCTGAATTACAATAACCTAAACGACGTAAAACACGTTTATGTCTCTTTAAATCACCTATTTGTAATAATGATTGTGCTTTTTTTAATTCATTTTTAGCATCAAGAACTTGTTTTTCAATATTTGCTTTACATTCATATTGTTCATAAATTTTTTTTAATTGTAAATTTTTTGTTAATGGATGTTCATCAAGACGTGTTTGTAATATAGAATATTGTTTTATATATGATATCATATCATTTGATTTAATACCCATATCATGTATTGGATCAAGTAATGGTAAACCTAATGGATGACGTTGTATTATATCTTGAACTGATTTTAATATACTTTGTCGAGATTCTTTTGTTCGTAAATCATCTGGTAGATAAACTCTTATAGCACTTATATCACGTATTAATGTATGTTGAATTGGAATAACCTTAAAAGAATTTCATTAACGTAAAAAAAAAAATAACAATAACAAAAAAAAAAGAAAAAATCTTACTTTCATTTCACCTCTTTCAAATAATGAACATGGTTGAATTTCAGCTGTTAATTTTTGTGTAGCACTTTCTAATGTTAAATGTGCTAAAACATCAACGATATAAATTGGCTAAAAATAATAATAATAATTAAAAAAAGAAATTCGAGACAAGTTATAAAAGAAAAAACATATTTTTGATACAAACTTTTTCACCAGGTTTTTTATGAAAATTAAGTACAACACACCAATCAAAATTAAGATCACCAGATTTCACCTAGAAGAAAATTTCATAGATTTTAATTCTAAAATTACAAATGTACTGAATTTACATAGAGTTTCAGTATCTACAAATATAACACTCTGAGAAGCAATTAAATCCGAGACATTTTTTTTAATAGTGCATCGCAGTGTAGTAATATGTGCTATAGGATCTTTACTCTAACGAGTACTGAATGAAGATAATTATGAGTATTCTGAAACTTGTATAGATATATTGTTTAAGAAAAGTACGAAATCGAATGACATCGAATTTTAATATAAAAAATATTAATATATTTTAATTTTTAACAAAAGCTGAAACTTATGAGGTGTTCGTTCATGACGAGAATTCTTCTTTGAAAAAAAAAACAAAAATCTTCATGTAGGAAAATATCTATCGAGATTCTTTGAAAGATCGTATTTCAGACAAAGATGTCCATCGCGGTTAGAGCCCGTCGGGTAGGACCCGGACCCGGACCCTACCCGGACCCGCACGGGTCCGGGTCCGGGTCCGGGTCCAAAAATTTTACTTTGGCCGGGTCCGGATCCGGGTCCAAAAATTTTATTTTGACCGGGTCCGGGTCCGGGTCTGAAAATTTTGCTTTAACCGGATCCCGGTCTGAAGAAAACTTTGATCCATACAATTTATTTTGAATTTTTTTAAAGTTTTGTTCGTTTTATACAAAGAAGAGATCAAATGTATTTAGAAAATAGATAAAAAACAACAAAACCCTTCTTGACTATACTATCTAAACTGACTTGTCATTGTGTTTGGATCCAAAAAATTTAAGCGACCGGGTCCGGGTCCGGGTCCAGCAACCTGTAAACGGGTCCGGGTCCGGATCCGGGTAGAAAAATTTTAAATGATCGGGTCCGGGTCCGGGTCCAAAATCCTGGGCCAGGGTCCGGGTCCGGGTCCGGGTCCAAAAATTCTGGACCCGACGGGCTCTAATCGCGGTTGAAAACCTGCCGCTGCTGCGATGGTTTTCAAAACAGTGTATTGAATTTTACTGCTGCGATTGTATTTAACCAGAAATATCGGTACATGTCCATTAGATTTATTCAGTCGCAAGCTATTTCGTTTGAAAAACATAGAAACACTATAAATTTATACAGTTTTAAAATGTCCTCTAAAAATAATGCTGCCGCCAAAGACATCTCTAGAGATGTAAGCAATCCAGCTGCGCCGCCGCCGATTTTTTTCAGAAATCAGCCACCGCCGCTGTGAAAAAGTTAGCTCAGCCATTGCGCCACCGCCACGAGCGAAAATTTTTGATAATAGTATGATGCGCTACCGCCATTGACATCGATACATATGCGATCGGTCATTTTCTCGCATTTTAAGAACGAAAACGCCTTTTTTTGGTTGTCAAAGTCGCCGCCGCCGTTTGACCTCTCGGCTTACACCTCTAGACATCTCCAATTCCAGGTTAGCTGTTAAAAGGTCGAACGGAAAAAATGTGAGTGTAGATGAAGAGAAGACTATGCCTTTTTTAATTTGGATTGGACACACTTCTTATACCAAAAATAAAAAACGTCTTATTAGGTTATGATTTTCCATATTTTTCCTTTTGACTGTTCAACAGTACATTGTATTGGATAAGTCTTTTCGAACAAGAGATTTTACTCGATTGAATTTTTACAGTTCAGTATTCTATTACTAGAAAAATAATTAATAATGACTATATTCAAAAAGAATAATCATCTTAATCGAACGATAATTGTTTTTTTTATTTTGATTTTAAATTTTATTTTTATCTAAAACTTCTTACTGTAACAAGACGACCAGGCTGTAAAAATGGTAATAAATATTTTGGTTCATTTATCATAATAGCAATTTGATCTTGTACAAGTTCAAGTTTTTTTTTTAATTTATAATATCTTGCAACTTCTTCTTCATTTTCAATTTTAATTGAATCATATTGTTGTTCACAAGTTTGTAATTCTACAATTTTTGTATAAATCATTAGAAAAAATAAAAAATAAAATCTTACTTTCATAAAGTGCCGGTATTGATGAAAAATGTTGAAATTGATAAAATGATCTTTCAAGCATAAATTCTGGATTAATACCTTCAACACGTAATAAATTTAATACCATATTATATGTTAATTTAAATGCACTATTTAATGGATCAGCTTTTCCCTAAGAAACAAATTTTTATAGATAAAAAAAAATCAAAAATATTTTGTATACAAACTTTAACAATATCTTTTGCTGTTGTTGGACTCATACGTTCATCAATAATTAAAACAACAATACCACGTTCATCTTTTCCACGACGTCCAGCTCGACCACTCATTTGAATATATTCACCAGATGTTATCTTAATTAAAAATCAAAAAAAATTAAAATTTTTTTTTCTAATATTTTATATTTACCCAACGTAATTCTTTTCCATCAAATTTTCTAGCAGCTGTAAAAAGTACTGTACGAGCAGGCATATTTAAGCCCATACTAAATGTTTCTGTTGCAAATAAAGCTTTAATAAGACCTTCACCAAAAAGTATTTCAATTGTTTCTTTTATAATTGGTAATAAACCTGAATGATGTATACCAACACCCCTTTTAAGTAATGGTAAAACAGTATTTATTTGAGGTAATTTTTTATCTTCATCAGATAATAGATCAATTGCATTATTAAATACTTCTTCAACAAGATGTTTTTCATCCTCTATATAAAAAAAAAACGAAAATTTTTTTTTTTTTTTATTATAAAATATAAAACCAGAATTAAAATCAAGTTTTGCTATTGCACATGCATATGTTTCACAATCTTTTTTACTAAAACTAAAAACAATAACTGGTGCTAAATTTCGTTCCATAATCATTTTAACAATTTTAAATACATTTGTTTCAGCTATTAAATATAAATTAAAAAATGAAGATTTTTTTTTTTTTCTAAGAATTTTATTTTTGCGTACTTTTTAAACCACCTCGTCTTCCACGTTTATCACCTTTTGCTGCATCACCAACATCACGTAATGTTGCCATAGCTGAACTAAAATTATCTTCACGAAATTTACCCTAAAATAAAAAATAGAAATAAAAATTTCAATACACAAAAAAAAAAAAATACCATTTCATCAACAACTAAATGAAGACCATCAGCACCAGCTGGATAAATATAATGATGAAGAGGTACAGGTCGAACATCAGTATATACAACATGACAAGGCTAATAAAATAAATAATTAATAGACTTCTCATACAGTGAGGGCTCAAAAAAAAAACATGTACATTTTTATTTTTACGCATAAACAAATAATAAGGATACTTTAAAAATTTTCTCTCATATCGGACTTTGTAGAGTTTTTTTCGCTGAACATTTTAGTAAAAAAATTTTTTGATTGTCATTGAGTAATGACGATGTTTATAGTCAAAATACTAAAGACTGTAATACATACTATATCTAATTACAATTGAACATACTCTGAAAATCACACTAAATTCGTTGCTTTCCAAATAGTACTTATAGAGTTTTGTTCAGTTCTTTATGCTCTTTCATATGAAAGAGTTGGAATTTAAAAAAAAATCAAAATTATTATTAATTATTAATTAACTAATTAACTGCAATATAAGTGCTTGTTACCAAAATGTAGCCCATTAAATTCTGCGTCAAATGATATATAGAACATCTTTCAATATGTTGTGAAATAACGTAAAAATTAGTCAAATACTAAAAGTGTGCTAAACTTTTTTCCCTACTTTATATTACAGTGTTTAGTATTTTGACTATAACATCGTCATTACTCAATGAAAATCAAAAATTTTTTTTTCCCAAAATGATCAGCGAAAAAAGTTCTACAAAGTCCGATATGGGAGAAAATTTTCCGAGTATCTTTATTATTCGTTTATGCATAAAAACGAAAATGTACATGCTTTTTTTGAGCCCGCACTGTAAGATTTATTATTGATATTCAGAAAAAGAAAACTTTACTTGATTATGAAGAAATGATATCCATTCAGCAAATTGTTTTGCATTTGGTATAGTAGCTGATAGAAATACATAATGAACATTATCTGGTAATAAAATAATTGTTTCTTCCCATATAACACCACGTTCTTAAAAAAAACAAAACAAAACAACATTTAAATTTAATATATTTTATATTTAAACCTTTATCACGAAGATAATGTATTTCATCAAATATAACCCATGCAACTTCACGAGTTATTTCTGAACCACGATAAAGCATTGATCGAAGAATCTTAAATAAAAAAAAGCGAAAAGAAAATTTCTTAATTCTCATAATAATCATACTTCTGTTGTCATAATAAGACATGATGCTGATGGATTAAGTGTTACATCACCAGTCATAAGACCAACATCTTTAAATTCTTCATGTAATTCACGATATTTTTGATTACTTAAAGCTTTTATTGGTGTTGTATATATAACACGTTGTTTATCACGTAATGCCATAGCAACAGCATATCTAATATTATTAAAATTTGATTAAAAAAAAACAAAAGTTTTTTTAATATATAAATATTTAACATACTCAGCTACAACAGTTTTTCCAGCTGATGTATGAGCTGAAACAAGTACTGATTGATTATTTTGTAAACATGTTATAGCTTCACGTTGAAATGGATCAAGATTAAATTTATATTCTTTAGCCGGTGGACCAATAGGTGCTTTTAATGGTACATATTCAAAATTTGGTGGTAAAACAACCTAATAATAAAAAAAAGAAATAATTTTCTATATAATTGATAATCAAAAAAAAAACAAACTTCATGTAAACATGATTCAATTGTTTCAACAGTATGAATTTGCATTCGTGGAACATTTTCAAAAAAACTAAAAAATAAAAAATAAATTTAACAAAAAAAAAATAATGATTAAAATTACCCTCCTGAACCAGTTTCAGTTAATAAATCAGTTCGATTACGTTTTATTGTTATATCGATTTGATCATCATCTTCTTCCCATACACGTTTATCATGAGAGATTTTTTCACTATCATTTTCTTCTTTTCTAGAAAAATAAAAAAAATAATTAGATATTTCGTAATTCATATCTTCTTTTAGATAATTTATGTATAAAAAAAGTCTAAAGAGATTTTCTTTGTAGTACACATATAAAGTATGATCGAATAGCATAGAAAAATAAAGCATTCTTTCCTCTATCAGACTATGTAGAAAGAAGGTTTGTTATAAGGAATTGAAATGTTACTGCAATTACTTTTGAATTGTTCTATATACATGTTTGTTCACACTATCGAGGTATCCATAAGTATCTGACGATATATCAGCAGAGTTCATGACTGAAATCCCGAGTGTATCTACCTTGAATAGGAATGGATTATTGTTTTACTTCGAGTTAATTACTTTTTTTTCTCAAATTTAATACTGGCTCAACAGATCGGACATTACTATATTTTATCAGAGCTGATCCGAGGTTACCAACATGTGACTTAATTGATAGGACTAGCTATTCGCTGTCGAACAGTTAAATTTTTTCAAATATGAATTTATTCACGAGAAAATTTCATCAAGTGATTACGAGCTTTTTGAAGTGCTATTTTGACTATAGATACGAACTGGTAAGACTAGCAAAAGCATCCATAGGCTTTTCTTCTGAAGCTATACCAAAATATTTAGAAAAAAACCAAATGACGAAATTTCGTCCATATATTGATTGCATAGCCCTTAGTATCAGAGATGGGCAGCTCCGACGAAAGTTGGTGAACCAGCGGCTCAGGACAGATTATACATACGTCGAATTCAACATCATTCGACGCAGAAATGTTTGCTCTTTCCAGCTATATATTTAACTTAACTGTTGTCTTTCGTTGAAACAAAGTCGTCGGAGCCGGTCGAACTCAGCTCCCGCTCCAACAACTTTGTCTCAATGAATACTCTTCTCAATGGAAGACAAGGACCAAACTAAATACATAGCTGGAAAGAGCAAACATTTCTGCGTCAAATGATGTTAAATTCGACGTATACTAAGAATTATAGAACCTATATATGGACGAAATTTCGTCATTTGGTTTTTTCTAAATATCTTCCGAAAAAATGCAGTAAATTGATCATAACTCCGAAAGAAAGGCCTATGAAGGTTTTTTTTTCTATTTTCTAATCTCACCACCCGGTCGTATCCTTTAAACAACTACAATTTTATGATAGAAAAGAGAATATTCCATCTAGTAACATATATTTCCTTACATGATTGTAGTTGTTGTTGTTGTTATTTGTTCAATAATAGTTACATTTTTTGGTAATTCAACGATAGCACTCGGTTCATCTTGATCAAAAACATCAAAAAGTGCATCGTCACTCATCTAAGATAATACATATATATATATATAATAAACCGAAAAGAAAAAAGAAAACATTGTTTTTAATATCTCTCTCATCATTTATATAAAATAAATGTCATAACAATATACAAACACAGAAAAAGAAGAAGACAAAAAAAGAACTAAGTTGTTTTGTTTTGTTTTTTTTTATTTCGCAAGTACAAACATAAGTGCATCAATAAATTTTTGTCGATGTTGTTCTTGTAATAATAATACAGAATGATCAAAAAATACAAATTTAGCAACATTACCACAACGACGATCAGCTGTTTCAAATAATGTTGAAAATGAATTCATCATAATATTATTAAATGATGGTACACCAACAACAATTTCAATTAATTCGTGTTCTTTATTTGTTAACGAATATGGTGCTATTAATATTAATGGTAAATTTTTTAAATATTTTGATTTTTTTCTTTTAATTATATTTGTTGATGATGATGTATATGATATTAATATATTTAATGCATGACGTGCAAATAAATATGTTTGATATGGATGTGTAAAAAATTCATATGATTTAATATTATCATTTATTATTGATGAATTAAACATATTTTGATCAAATTTAAGTAATATAAACGGTATTGTATTATTAAATGTTAAATTTTTATCTGATTGTAATAATGTTTCAATTAAATAATGTTTTTTTTTTGTATAAATTTTTTCTAATTCAATACCATTTATATATTGTTCTAATTGATTATAATTTAAACATGATAATGCTAATGAAAAACATTGAGTTAAATCAATCATTATTGATGATGATGTTGATGTTGTTGATGATGATGATGTTTGTAATGTTGACATAACAGAATAAACAATATCTTGTGGTGATAATTTTAATGTAAAACCACTTGTTAATAAAAATGTTGGTAATATAATTGTATTTGTTGTATAATGATATTTATCTTGTAAACGTTTATTTAATATTTGTTTTTTAATATTTAATTTATATTTTATATTCATATCACGATAATATTGTTCATATTCACGTTTTGGTATACCTAAATCAGCAAGAAATTCTTTTAATTGTGATAAACCACGTGATGACCATAATTTAAATGATATAATCATATCATGTGTATAATATATTGAATCATATAATGACCAATGACGTAATAAATGAAAATTAATATCTTCATCAAATTTTATATTTATACAATCCATTGATAATTTAGAATTTATTATTGATGTATTATTATTATTATTATTATCATCATTAGAATTTATTATAGAATTTTGATTATGATTAAGACGAAGAACATGACTTTGAAGAATAATCACGATCAATTCGTCCATGAAGTAATTGTTCAGTTACACCAATAATAGCATACCTAGATATTGAAATAAAGTTGTTAGAAGTAGCTACAGGTACACAAGTCTTTAGTTTAAGGATCCCCCCGTCTTTTTTGACACTTGCTGATTCTCGAAGACAGTGCAACCGATCAAGCTAGAATTTTTAGCACAGATAGAGCACTAAAAATAACGAAATGGGTGTTCAAGGAAAAAAATTTAACGTAAGTTTTTATGGAGTTTTCAGAAGTCCACATACTGATAAATTACGATCCCCCTTAAAGTTTATCCGATTGGGGTAAATTTTTTGTTTTTCTAGATGTATGATACTATTCCTCAGAGGTAAATTTAAGATTTGTCAAAAAACTCACTGTCTTTTTTTTATAAGAGAAATATGCCAAGATCTGAATTTTGGTTCCGGATCTTGACTTTCAGGACTCGGTAACTCCGAGTAGGAATATCAAAAATGAAAACGTTCGATTTTACCTCTGGAGAATAGTTCTAAGTATTAATGGTAAAAATTTCAGCTCGATCGGGCAAACTTAGAGGGAGGTCGTAAGCAACCGAGATTTAGAAAATCGCTGTTTTACGTAGCGCTAAGTAAAAGGAAAAAGATTACATATGATCATTATGAAAAAAAAAAATTTCTCGATCCAATAACCATGTAAAAGTTTTATCAAAGACTAAAAACAATGTATTTAAAAATGAACATATTACGTTAGTTGATTAAGGCCAATTTTCAATAATCAGATCGGTATTCGAACATCTACAAAACTCTATGCTTTAAGATTAACTTGTTTAAGAGTTCACGGAATTTTATTCGAAACTCTTTGACAATTTTCCTATTAATATCTGTGAAAAAAAACTATGTGTTTTATTTTATCTTACCATAATTGTTCATTTGTATCTTTTGATAATAAATAAGCTAATTCAAACATAATTAATGCTGATGAATATGAATGTGTTCGATATTTATAATAATTTGCTAATGCTTTATCACGTCTTTTTAACCATTGTCGTTTAAGTCTTTTATTTCTTGTTTCTATACTTTCAATTCTCATATTTGTACTATTTTCATCATCACTTTGATTATCATCATCATTATCTTCATTCTCATCATCATCATCATTCTCATCATCATCATATATTTCATGAAATAATTCTTCATATTGTGGTACACGTTTTTTTTCTATATCAATTTTATTTGGTAAAATAAGTAAACGAATTTGTTTAGAATCATAAATATTACGATGTTCAATTGGACGTAAACTATCTAAGACAAATAATGTTAAATTATTTTCATCATCAGTATTATTATTATTATTAATTGAATCAAGTGATAAAAAATCATATAAATCAAGTGTTGAACCACAATTAATAAATATAATTGTTTTAATTCCACTATTAATATGTTGTATATGACCATTTTCTAAATCATATTTATATAAAACTGGTAAACATGTATATATAATATGTTCACATTGTAATAAATGTTGAAAAATTTTCCAAGCACATAAACTATCAACATCAAGATGAACAAAGACAAGTAAACGACGTTGTTGTTTAGATATAAATTCAAAAAATTCACGTTTTAAATCACGTATAAATACCATAATAGTTTATTTTATGTTTTATTGTATTTACATACAATTATAAATAAAAAATTTATTTTTGTCTTTCATATTCGATTTAGTATTGTCTATTCTCTTCTTTTTTTACTTTTGATTGGATTAAATATTTAACCAATCATATATATAGTTTAATATTGCTTGACAACCGTTTGATGTAAAAAAGTTTGATATGGTTTCATCATGTCAATTTAATTACTTTTTGAATTGTTAAATAAAATGACTGCTGGTTCAATATCTGCTCCGTCAATAATTCCATTACGTGTTGGATATGCACAAAAATTTTCCATTGATACAAATACATTGATTGAAATACGTAGTGATACAAATGATGTTGATATTTATTATACATTAGATGGTTCAAAACCAGATGCATTTATAACATTAGCAACACGACGTTCGACTATACAATATAAAAAACCATTTTATATACCAAGAGATATAGCTAATACAGGCAAAGTAACAGTTAAAGCTATAGCTGTATCACGGTAAAGATATTTAAGAAAACAAAAAAATCAATTTGAAGAATTTTTATTTTTTTTTATTAAAATTTATTTAGTGATGGAATACGAGAAAGTGTTATAGTAACAAAAATATTTGATGTTAAAATTATTCCATCAGATCATTCATTATCGGATGAATATGAAAATCGATATTTATATGAATTACAACAAGAACGAAAGGTAAAAAATTTCAAAATGATAGATAATAAATAAATTCAATAGAAATTTACTTATCTCATGTTTATTGAAATACTGTATAGAATACTTTTTTTTATTATGAAATCATACCTATTTTTATATGAAATGTACAATGAATTTGAATCATGTGAAAGAATATTATTTTTAATATTTATTTAAGTAATCTGAAAAAGCATATTTTAGAAAAAGATAAGATTTCCTTAAAAGAAATTATGAACTCGATTTTTATAGAAAACATATCTGAATACATTGAATTTTTCATAAAATATTACGAAAATAAAATAATCTGTTGGATATACGAGCAAGTTTATGTGTCATTATAAATGATTAATCAAGATATTAAAGTTTAATTAAATATTCAATTTTTTCAATATAAATATATTTTTAGTTTGCAAAAATATTTATCTTTAATTTTATTTAAAAGAATTTGATATTCCAGAATGTCTCGATATCTCAAGAGTTCAATTAGAAGATCACTAATATAATAGTAGTAATTTAATGCTTGTCTATCGATATTACTTCATTAAAATGTTTTTTTTTCTATGAAGTTCAAAACTTATCAAAGTCATTGACACATCTTCAATTTTAGTGTTTAAATTTCGATTTGAAACTTCACATAGAGATAGATGTTAACGAAAATAATTTATTGCAAAATATTTTTCATTTCGTCGATAAGAATATATCTAAAACTTTCATTACAAACTATTGTCAGTGATCTCAATCTCTGTGAAAAATTCAAATTCGAGATTTGAAAATGAAATATTTCTGAAAAATGTCATAGTATTATCTAAAAAAACAATTAGTAAAGCAATCGAACTTTTTTCTACATATTTACAACTTATTTGAGTTCATAGCATCCTCAAATTAAAAACAACTATTCAGTTGAAATTCTTCTCTTGTTAGGCTAATAATTCAGTTAAAATGTTTATTAATTGATTTTATAATGTTACTTCAATAGGAATTAATGAGAAAGATGCAAAATGAAAATGAACAAATGCAACAAAAATTATCTGGTATCAAAAAAAAAGAAAAAGTAATTTTATTTATTATTAATCAAATTTCTATATAGAATCAATGCGTCGTTCAACAATTGATTCATTAGTACAAGAAAATCCAACTAATTATACATATTCAAATTCTCAAATACAAATAAATGTTTTAAGGTTTATCGAAACAAAATTATTTTATTATTTGAGCTTTGTTTTTTCTTTTCTAGATGTGCACATTGTTTTGCACCTAAATCAAATGATTTATATACACGATTTTGTACGGAATGTGGTCTACCTTGGCAAAAACTAACTCATAATCCACCGGATAATTATTCAGTAATTCAAAATAACTCTATCGGATATGATGACTACCCTTCATTTCAAAAAAAAGAAACTACCTAATCCCATTCTGTTAAACAACTCATAGTTATTTATGAAATTATTTTTTCATAAAAGTCATTATACCAGTTAAGATATATAAGAGCAATGATGAGTAATATGATCTCAAAAATAACCTATATCTGACATATATATATGGGTCTTTCGAAAACAGTAAAAAAAAACGTTTTTCTCTTTCAGAATCTTGGTAAAGCTATCAATTCTTATAAGAAACCCGAACATATGTTGAATGTGATAGAACTACATATCCGAATCACATTCGATGTTCTGAAGCCTAAAAACAAAAAGAAAATTCATATATTTTTCTATTCTCAGGAATGACACTTATAAAACTCGGAAAAAGTTGCATGGTTGGTTGCCTATGTCCTCGACAGTCGCATCTAACAACACTCATCATTGCTATAATACCTGTTAACTAGTAACCCCGCCCCCAGAATAAAAGGACATGCCCTTATACAGTGTCTTGGCACATCGCTACTTTTTGGATGGCTTTCCATCGGGGATCAATTTTTGGCCAGTTTTTAATTAAAATCATTTAAAAAATGAATGATTAATTAATAACTTTAATTATTGTTTTTTAGGTGTTTTTTGCTTAAAAAACTACCACATTTTGTAAAAACTGTACTAATTATGATAGGAAAGGAAGGATTTCGCAAAAAAAAACATTAGAAAATCGGTTAATATTTCCTTAATTATTAATTAATATTTATGAAAATTTCGATAATTTTGAAATATATTAATTAATTAGTACATGGCCTTCTAATATAGAGTGGCCGTCTATTTTTTTGGGGGGGGGGGGGGGGTATATGACTTTTCAGAACTGTAAAATTTGATAAAGAGTATATCCTTCGACGGATCATATTATTGTTCTACATAACAGTATTGATTACTTTACAAATGAATAGTAGTTATCTTATTTTACACGGATAATTTTTCTTTAATTAGACTAATATATGTACAAATTGTAAATCTACTATTCCATTTAATTCTAACACATGTGTTGTATGTGAAACACCAATATCCAAAGAACCACAACAGCGACCAACTTCTCAAAATCAGGTTTAAAAAAAAACAAACAAACATATCAAAAAAATTAATCAAAACTTTAATGTTCTTTTCTAGACAAAAATTCTATGTCCTCATTGTAAATCAACAAATCCAATACATTTACGAACATGTTATATTTGTGAAAATGTATTAATGCCAACATCAACACCACCAGTAAACAAAAAGAAATCTTATTTATGTATTTTTTTCATATTTATATTTCAATAGGAAAAACGAACTTCAATTTCAATTCCAACAATATCAAAACAAACAAATACAATGATGATAACATGTTCAAAATGTTTTCGTTTAAATAATCCTAATGCTCGTTTTTGTGATTGGTGTGGTGCATATCCTGAACATATATCTACATCAATACAATGTACAAAATGTCATACAAATAATGATTCATTTGCAAAATTTTGTTCATCATGTGGATGTGTTATTGAACCACCATTACGTGTTATTGATACGCGTCTTAAAAACGATTTGAATATTTCATCTTCATCAATGATTGCTAGTGTATATTAAAATTAAAGAATAAAAATAAAAAAATAAAACGATTCTTATTTTCTATAGACATTAACACGTAATTCAGTTAATCCTGTATGGCTTAATGCAAATACATCATTAACTAATTATCATCAATCATATTCAACAATTAAAAAAGAAGCTGCAACACAAACATATGGAATTTATTATCCAAGTGCAAAAGATATTGATTTAATTATAACACAAAATAAAAAATTATTAGCTGAAAAAGAATTAAAAGAATATCGTCCAATATTAACATCTACAAGTCCAGGAAAAGGATATTGGCGACAACAATTAGATCATATTTGTGCTCATTTAAAAACTTATGCAGTTAATCGACCAGATTTTCAATCATTGATTGGTAACGATCTTTAATATTTAAAAAAAACAAATACTTTTATTTTGTTATAATGAATAATAATTATTATTTAAAATATAAATTCTCTCTCTATATATATCTTATATATTAATATTAAAAAAGTTTATATATTATTTAATTATTTTTTTTTAGGTGAACCACGTATGGGTAATATGATTCATGCAACTGTACATGAAAATGAATATCAAGTAACTATACAAACAGTATTTCGTAAACCAGAAAATCTTTCACAATCACCATTTTTTATTAATGAAACAAATGAATATTATCCAATAGATAATGAACGAAGTTTACCATATTCAAATACAATTTATTCTGATAGTAGGCAAAAGTATTCTTTGCAAAAAACAAAAAAAAACTTTGTTTTTTTTTATATAGATGAATATCCAAGAGAAAAATCACAACGAACAAAAGTAAAACATCGTAATAAAAAACGACCACAATCAGCTAATACTATTACAAAAAATATTGAGAGTGTAAGAATAAAATATTTTATTATAATTTTTTTTTGTTGTTGTCTTATTAAATTATCTATTATAATTAATAGTCCACTCATGCATTAATTCGATTATTTGAAAAAAAAAATAATAATTATAATAAAAAATCATCACATCAAATCGATATATTAAAAGAAGTTCAACGTTTAATAAAAGAAAAAGCTGATGTTAATGTTAAAAATAAAGAAGGTTATACGATTCTACAATTGGCTATACGTAATGGATATTATGAATGTTTAGAAACACTTATTATAGATGGAAAAGCTAAATTAGATAAAAAAGGACCGTAAGTTCTATATATCTATATATCGAGATTTTAATATCAATTGAAATCAAAGATTGACTGTATTTTTTCTTTTTTTGTTCATTAATATTCGAAATGTTAAGAAATATTGATTTTGTTTTGTTTTGTAGACGAGGTAATACAGCATTACATGAATGTTGTTTATTAGGACTTGACGGTGCTGAACCATTAAGAATTCTTCTCAAGTAAGTTTATATTATTTTAATTAGAAATTAAATAAGAAAATAATAAAATTTATTTATTTTTTTTTTTTTATAAAAGACATGGAGGTGATGCGTCTTGGTTAAATGATAAAAATGAAAGTGTTACTGATATAGCAGCAAAACAAAATTGTCCAGAATTATTTCAAGCTTTTTCTAAATATCAAAGTGAAAAAATGCTTAAACAACATATGAAAAATTCTTATGATGATCATACAAGAATAAAAACTATTCATGATCATCATTCATCAGAAAAATTATAAGGAAAAGAAAAAATAAAAGTTTTTTTTTTCTTTCTTCATATTGGATAATAGTTGATGAATGTTTGTTTTTAGTTTTTTTTATTATTGTTTTTTCTTAGCAACTGAGTGCTTTGTTTTCTAAATTCTTTCTTTGATACAAAATCTTACTGGGGATTAACAAAACTAATAAATAATGTCAAATAAAATAAAAATAAAAAAATATGAATTAATTTTTAGTACGACTAATGTAGATGGTTATTATTTTAAGTCTTCTTCACTTTATCATTACGATAAAATTCGCTAAATTCTGAATTAGATCGACTTATTGTTAGGATGATTTGTAATCTATTTTGATTAAGATTTTATTAATAAAATCTTAAAGTTTGAAAAACGACAAAGTTTACAAAAAGAAGGGACTTGTTATCAGCGAAATTGTCCGTACTTTCTTATAAAATTCTATTTTATATTACATAGTGTGTCGATATCAGCAACCTTTAGCTAATAGTATAAAACCTTCTAATGCATTTTGTACTGTATACAAAGAGATTTAGCTATGTTTGATGTCTTCAGAAAGATTAAGTTATAGAATGTTTTCATGGAAAATACTTGATTTATTTGCTTATATATTCAACTGATCTATATGAAAAATTAAGCTGTTTTAGTTCTCTGCTGAATAGAATGTGAATATATGAGAAACAATTACTTCTTGCTTTTCTTTACATAGGGATATGATTCATCTCGCATACCATTAAATCTGGACAATAGGGTGTGGATGAAGAGAATATTCACATCCAAATCAGAAAAAGTAAATTTTATTGGTACCTATCAATATGTATCCGAAAGACTTTCTTTGTCCAAAAATGAATTAACAGTTTCTTTTGTCATACAATATAATCACAAACAGTATGCATTCACATTAATAAAAAACATATCGTATTTTTGCACTTCGACACGTTAAATATTTTTTGTTGTTGTGGGAAATCGAATTACTATTTTTTCGATAAGATTCAGCCGCATCAAAGTGATCCAATCTCGATCATTGATTTATTTTTCAACATGTTTTTTGGACTAAATTTTACTACAGTACGATACATTTTATTTTAGTATTTTGTCTGAGCCAAATGCCAGACGTCAAATTTATCGATGATAGAAAATATTTCATATTGTTTTGTGTTTGTTTTTTCGAAACGAAGGTTTTTGAAATAGTCATTCTCATTTATATATCACTCAGATGCTTTTAATCATACTTCGGACATAGATTCTAGTGATATTAGATGATTTTAAATTAATAAATATAATATAATAAACAAAAAAGTTCTTTATATAAGATGTAATCACATTGAAAGAAAGAAACATGCAATTTAACTTTTCTTCAGCAGTTGTTTGTTTACACATTCTATCTGCACATTTTCACTGCCCTGTACAGACACGAACGCAAGA